GCGGCGACCGGTGTCCTGCCTGCGGGAAGGTGGAAGGCTTCTGGAAACCCCAGCAGCTCTGCAGCCTCATCCCGAGCCAAAGCGGCGTCTTTGCCAAATGCCACAGCAAGATCAACCCCAGCTTCTTCTACAAGAACTGCCTCTTTGACACGTGTGTTGATGGAGGAGCCATGCAAACGGCCTGCAGCTGGCTGCAGAATTACGCCAGCACATGCCAAACACAGGGCATTGCCATTACCGGCTGGAGGAACTTCACCTCGTGCTGTAAGTGCTACCCTGCCTCTGGGTCCTTCTTCTCTAGAGCTGCTTCTGGCCTTGTCCACTGTAGCTGTAGCACTTGCTGGAGCTTGCCCTGTGGAGAGCTAGCAGAGCATGCAGTAGAGCAGGAGCAGGCATGGAAAGGGGGAAACTTCAATTTCAGAAAGTATCAGCCATCCCTTCATTGTTAAACAGGAATTATGTTAGTCAGCTACAAAGCCAGGAGTAGGACGCGTGTGCTCTAATGAAGCCACATGCTCTTGTCAATAAGATTACGGTGCGATGTTCAATTAGGCTCCCGAGGATGGGGGCTGCAAGCCTCTCTGGCAGCCGATCCATTTGGCAAATCAGATAGGAAGTAATTGCCTTTGCTAACAAGACTGAAAATTAAATTTATGCCGTTCTTCCGTCTAGCAAGAAAGCTCACAGCTCAGAAGGCACCACTCTCACAGGGCAGGGGTGGCAGGGCTGCCAGCAGGCACCCCACAGGCCGTGTCTGACATGGTTCCCATCAGGGCACGGGAAGAAGCGGCTTGCTCAGACACGGGCAGTGTCCCTCATAGATTTTGCGCTCTGCCAGCCCAGCAAACACATGTCCCCTGAAAGGTGTCCCCACACAGAGAGCACAGAGTCTCTGTTGTCCACCTGAGCATCCCTCCTCCTGCTGGGAGATCTTAGTCTGGTGTCAGTGAGCAGGGTTGTTTGTGGGAGAGCAGGGAGCACAGGGAAATGGCTCTGGGGAAGCTGGCGAGCAGGAGCTCAGAGGCAGTGGTGAGTTAGGGAGCAGTGTTGCTCAGCCTGGGCTGGGCAGCTGGCAGGCGGTGTGGGACAGGGGGATGAAGGCTGACCTTCCCTTCGGTTGCGGGCCTGGGAGCTCCAGATCCCTCTCTGGGTAACGTGGTGTATGTTAACCACCCCAGCAGAGGAATTAGCTGCAGGTATTATGGCCCCACGAGTTGCTGGCTGCTGTTGGTGTTGTCCAGGGAGCTAATTTGTACCCGTTTTGTCCTCTGGTGACATTGCAGCCGTCAGCTGTCCCCCCAACAGCCACTACGAGAGCTGCGTGTCCCTGTGCCAGCCCCGGTGTGCTGCCATCCGGCTGAAGAGCGACTGCAGCCACTACTGCGTGGAGGGGTGCCAGTGTGACCCCGGGTACGTCCTCAACGGCAAGAGCTGCATCCTTCCCCACAACTGCGGCTGCTACTCTGACGGCAAATACTACGAGGTAAACTGCTCATGTCTTTCGGGGCTTTCTCCCCCTCGCTTGCTGATATTTCTGGGCACAGTCTTGTGCCCTGAGTGGGGACAGCGGTCAGTCAGGGATGGTACCGTGTGTCGCGCTGTGTCTGTTTGCCGGGGTCATAGCCTCAGTCAGAGAGAGTGTTCTGCAGGGCCTAGAGGGACAAGTCTTCTTCACCCTTCTGTCTGGCAAAATCAGTGTGTGGTTGGGTGAGGGTGTCAGGCGGGCATGGGAGGAAACTGGCAGAGGTGGGAAGACTGGCTCTGATGGGTGCCAGAGTCCAGTACTGTATGATCATGTTGTTGTTGCAATTCCCAGAGGGGTTTTGTGTTTCACGTAAAATTTACATGAAAGGGATTTATTTGTAGGTGCTGGGTGTGCCTTGGGCGTTTGATTCAGCAGAGCGCTGTGCTGATGGCATTGCTCGTGTTATGGTGGGCTGGCTTTTGTGTAGGTGAAGCCGTTCTGCACCAGGTGTCTTTGCCAAGGCCCACACCCGTAAGGAGCCATGGCCATTTGGGAACCCTCGTTGGACACATCAGCAGCTGACAGGGCGCAAGAAAAGGGTCAAGGAGGCATTTAGTACGCTGTGTTTTTTGTGCATGTACAAGAGGCGAGGGAGGTAGCAGTGGAAACATGCAGTTGTGCCATGCCTGTGGGTAGCAGAGATGTTGCAGGGTAGGAACAAGCTGCCACCGTGTCCTTTGTGCCTTTTCCTCTCTCCTCATTGCCCACTCTTGCTTGCCGTGTGACAGACACAAACCTCAGCCCAGGCATCCCCAGGGGGTAGGACTGCAGTCCCTGGTTCTGCTGGCTGGTGACGGGTCCCTCTTTCAGCCCAAGCAGCTTTTCTGGAATGGAGACTGCACCCGCCGGTGCCGCTGCTTCCGCCGCAACCTCATCCAGTGTGACCCGCGGCACTGCAAGTCGGACGAGGAGTGTGCCCTGCGCAACGGTGTCCGCGGCTGCTTCAGCACCAGGAGCTCCTTCTGCCTGGCAGCGGGCGGTGGCGTCTTCCGCACCTTCGACGGAGCCTTCCTCCGCTTCCCCGCCAACTGCGCCTTTGTCCTCTCCACCATCTGCCAGAAGCTGCCTGACTTCTCCTTCCAGCTCATCATCAACTTCGACAAGTGGTCTTCACCCAACCTCACCATCATCTCCCCAGTGTACTTCTACATCAACGAGGAGCAGATTCTTATCAGTGACAGGAATACTGTCAAGGTAGGGTCTTGTCAGAGGGCTTCCACCCTCTCTGGAGCTGCAGGCCAGGCAGTGGGGGACCGGCTCCTGAGCAGAGGAGGATGGCCTGTGGACAAAAGGGCCAGCAGGAAGCAAGGCTGTCCACAACCTGCGAGTTTCATCCACCTCTCAGTGGTGTGGGTGAAGCTGTTTTCTTTAGTGGAGGGGTGCGGAGGGCTGACTGTCACCGTGGTGTTGCTCAGTCTCTGAAGGGCACTGTCTGTCCCTCCCTGGTGACTGGTGAGTCCCAAGCTATAGCCTCTGCATGTGAGTAGTGTTTTTCTGCCAGGGTGGTATGTTTTCGTGGCAGGGCTAGCAGTTGTGGAGCTGTTTGTGGGCAGCTTGCGCTTGTGCTTGCATCCATAAGTGGAGGGGGCGAGAGTGAGGTCAGCCTCGTGAGCATCCCCTTTGTCACGGGGCTTTCCACGAAGATCTTCAGCCAGGAGGGCTTCCTGGTCATCGACTCTAGCCCCGACATCCAGATCCGCTACAACGGCTTTAACGTCATCAAGATTGCCATCGGGGAGCGGCTGCAGAACAAGGTGTGCGGCCTCTGCGGCAACTTCAACGGTGACCGGACGGACGACTACGCGACGCTGCGGGGGAAGCCGGCAGTGAGCAGCGTGGGGCTGGCACAGAGCTGGAAGACCAACGGCATGCAGAAGAGGTGAGCGGT